ATATATAACTTTTTCCAAGTCATTTTGGGTAATTTTCGTTAGTACATTCATCATTAAATTTACATACAAGGGCAATAGGTATTTTCAAATCATGTCAAAAACTGAAAAACGTCAAAAATGGAGGTTTTCTTCCGACAACAGCAATATATATATATATATATATATATATATATATATATATATATATATATATATATATATATATTGCTGTTGTCGGAAGAAAACCTCCATGTTGTTATTAAATACTTTTGTAGCATTCCTGATTAATGCTATGGAAGCACTACAAAGAGACTGGCTTTATTAGGCAGAAGTAGAGGGAATGAAAGTAAGTACAAAGACATTGAGAAATTAGACAATAAAGGGTAAATCTGGCCTAAAACTAGCATTCAATATGTAATTAGTTGTATTATGCAGTATTTTGTAGCCCATTATATTGGTTTCATGTTTTCTCCTATTACAATACCCAGCATGCATTGCACAAAGGTCATACAACCACTGGGAATCCTAATTGCTAACCTAGTCATTAATCTCCTGGCTAATAAATATAACCAAACTGGCATTACTATAACTTTTTTATCTTGATTGTCAAACAAGAGAGCTTTTTCTTTATAAAAGACACAACTGAAGAATGCGTGTGAATTGCATTTTCCACCTGTATTTGGAAAACATGCAGAAACAAATGATGAAGACAGAGTAATTGGTTAGCATTTTCGATAACACTCTTGCCTTGCCCAAGGGTAGCCAGGGTTCAGTTCTCTCTGAAAACCATTACCACAGTTATACAGTTGCTGTAAGACATTGAGCTCACTAGGAGTAACATTAGTTATCTGGCTTCCCTCTGCATTCACCAGCTAACAAAACAGTAATAACACATTTTGCTCCCAAAAATCCACACCACCACAGTTTTAGGGTTTTTTTAAGTTTTCAGAGGTTATCCGAAATGGGTTTTCCTAGTCGTTAAATTGGAATATCTCACTGTAGAGAGTACTGTGGGAAATGCTGTAGAAAATGATTAGGTATGAAGTAGCAATGGTTAAGTTTCCATTTTGCTCATAGTGTCTCTTCAATTGTGTCACTGAAAACATGAATAAAAATCATGATTATGGCAATATTTATGTCAATGTGAAGCAGTAAGCTGAAAAATTCTCAATCAAATCAATCAAATCTAAATGACAAATCGCTAGAAGAAGAATGTTTTATTAGCATGTGTAACAAACAGTAATTTAAATGGAAATTCTTCCCACCTGTTCCACTTTGATGTCAAATTCACCATGAACCTTCTTGCCTTTAAAAACCTTGGTCCTAATGGAGGAAAAAAGTAGGATTAAACCTAGTTAGAATAATGAAACATAAGAGTCATACAGAAAATGTAAACTAATATCTTTATAAAAGAATATATCTGTAACATATAACATCTGTCTATGTTCTGGGGCATGACTGTATAATGCAATTAATGTAAAATCCATCTTCCATCCTATCTTCTTTTGGACTTCTTGCCAGAATTGTGAAAGGTGAAACAATTCAGAGTTTTCAATCTTCTACACTTGTTTTGGGTTTTAAAGTTTACATATTTATTAGTACTCAGATCTCAGAGCCCATATTTGACTGCTCACAGAAGTTGTTATTAATGATGTTAAACGTCCTTATCCATACAAGCGCAAATGCAACGTCTAATAGTTCTATTTTTCATATTACGCTTACATGTAGCCTAAAAAAGCGATGAGATGGTGAGTCACGCCTATTGATACTCGACTATCGACTATTGATATTTTTAGGGGACCCGTAAACTCCTATCTATATTGTTCTTATTTACATGCAGCTATATAATATCATAATTTGAGGTTATACATGTGACAATATTCGCTTTAATCCAAGATTTAAATAAAGCGGGAAGGCCAGTCCACATGAACGAACTGAAGCTTTCTTAACAGTCATGACCTATTTAAAATGAGGAAGTGTTCATCTTACCAATCTGTCTGCTGATCATCGATGACTAACAGAATTTTTGCGTGTGTTGCGCTTGCTCTCTCGGTAGCCTCATTAAACGTGGCTGCGGCGGCAGCGGTCGTTTGTTTCACAGCATTGGAGATGGAGGAGAAAAATCCGGCCCCGCTCGACTGGATGGGAGGTGGCCGCCTCTCTTGCGCTCCGGGCGACACCGCCGGTCCGGGGCTTTGCTGCGGAGGGTCGGGCCGCTGGAGGTCAGTCATATAGCCATTTGGCAAGTTGGACATAAAATTGCTGTCCGATAGTCGACGTCGCAGGTAATTCATGGTGAGGATAAAAGATGAGGTGACTGGAGCGGTGTATAATAACAATACCAATATATATGCAGTGACTCTTCAAATATTACAAACGATCCACCACTAAGTGTTCTATTTCCCCATCGAAAATCAGTTGACTGAACGACCCTGTAGACCTTATCCTACAGTGCAGTTGCCTCAAGCGGTACCTTAAAGTACTCTTCGACGTTGCTGTAAAAGCAAAGGTTTCGCTGTATTTCCACGAGCATGAAAAATGTATTGAAGGTGTTATTATAATGTAAGACGGCAGTGCTGATTCTAAAGACACACTTAAGAGGCCGTTTTCCTAGTTCTGGCAGGTTGATCTGTAACAATACAACAGTTGTACTTCAATTACATCAAGATGCTGAGCAAAAAGATAAAAGTATGTCTGGATTTCCTCTCGTCGTCTTGTGGCCAGACTGTCCGTGATTTGGATTCTTCTAAGCGAAGGTCCGGTTCGAGCTCCCGAATATGCATGTAGCCTACTGTATCACGCCCGCTGCCCAATCCTGTCTTCCGGAATCCGATCAGGGTTTTTCTTTTTTCCTGCGTTATGTTCAGGACCACCACCCGTTGTTCCTTCAGTGCTTATGACTTGGTTTGATTGTTATGATGATGCTGATGAATGGCCAAAATGATGAATTCGTTATTGCAGTATTTTTTGTTTTAACTACATCGGGATTATTTTCATCCTCCTAATCAGAATAATTCTCCTCCCAAAATCAAGTACACGTAGCTACAAAAAAAATATGTATTAGTGACGCAATGAAACCAATTGCTCGCTGTTTTCAGGTTCGGCTGTTCAAAGCGAGGTTCAGCGAATACCTTCTCAGTTTTTGTGGGATATGCAATCTTAAAGTGAGATACTCGATTTAAAAGTTTGAAACATAACATCCCTGTATTCCAAGATGACAATTCTTACATTCACAGGGCTGCAAACGTGACTGATTGGCATGATGAACATTCATGAGCAATCACACATCTGGACTTACCCACAAAATCCATAGATTTGAATCCTCTTGAAAATCTGTGGGACTATCAGGAACAACGAGTAAGACGCCAGAGAAGGCATCCACGAAATCTGGCCGAACTTCACAATTCTTTGAGGCAAGAGTGGCTGAACGTTGATGTTGCCCACATCCAAAAACTTGTCCAATCCATGCCACATCGAATCGCAGCTGATATTCATGCTTATGGAGGTATTACACGCTATTAGGTATGTTTCAGTCATAGATAAAAAAAAAAAAAAAAAAACAGTGAACTTATTTTAATGTTTTATTTAAAGTGATGCATTGAACTTACTTCTTTCAAATGTGTACATCATCCTCATATGGATATTACATCAACCCAGCTTTGCCTTTCCATTTATTTACATTTGGCAATAATCGTGTTGATGTAATGTTTTCAAGTATATACAAATTCTATGATGTATAGAACTGAGTGAGTCATATAGAATTAAATATAATAATTCATATTTTATTATTATTCATATAATAAAATATGCAGAATGCCTCATATCTGAAATCTCAAGTCGGTTAAGTTAACAAAAACATTTCCCCTAGTTTCACCTCTCAAGAATCCCTCTTTATTGTGCATGGGGTCAAAGTACACTTATGTCATATTCCAGGCAGGGTCAGCACAGCTTCAATTGTTTGAAACTTCTTAATATTTATCCTAATGGTTAGCACTGTCCATGATTTATGAAGATCAACAACCTAATTTGGGTATTCTCTGATTTTCCCCACATTAATGGATGCTTGCATTGCATGTTACATATTTTTATTCTAGTGAAAAAGGGAATCATGAGTGGCCACTAAAAACTTAGGAAATAAAGGAAATATGAAAATATGGGAATACATGTGAATAACATTTTAATCATCATCATTGCTATAGACACCAATAAATGTGACATGTAGTTTTGAGAGGTTTTTCCTCTTTTTACTTTTTATACCTCTCACAAATTTGTTATTTGCCATAATTTTATTAGGTTAAATTTCATTCGACAGTTACCTCAAAATATTTTTCATATTTGCCCATTTAGGACCTAGAAACTTCTTGCTGTGTTGTAATCTGCCATGGGTTATCTAGTGACCACACTCAAAAAAATGACTCTTTGAAAATATATATATTTTTTTTTCCATCAAAGTGTTGCACAAAATTAAATTATCTACATTCAGAGATATAATTTGAGTAACATTTACTTATTACCTATAAGTAATGTCAACGTAACTATATTTTGCAGGATTTACATCAATAATGTAATTTTAACTAAAATGAATCATGTTCTTTCTACTTAAGCAAATTACGTAATTGTTATACATTTTTTTTTGTTAAAACAACTCAAATTTGATGCCTTTCTGATGACATTTACTCATTGCTTGTAAGTTTTGTCAGCTTAGTTATATTTTGTAAAATTTCCTTGAAGTGTAATTTCAATCATGTTCATGCTATTTCATTAATGAAGACTGTTAAATAACTTTTTAGTAAAACTACTCAATTCTTTCGTATTTCCAAATAGTTACTCATTGTAGATACAACAGCTTAATTATATCACAGAGCATTTATTATTGTACAATGTTTAAATGTTAATTTTCACAAATTAAACTTCAGCTACACTTATTCATGTTCCATCTATTTAAACACATGGTCAAGACAATGACTATCATGATAAAAAATTAGTGATTTTATTAAGGTACATCAAAAACACATGCATATTAGGATCAACTAAAATACACATTTGCTATACCACTATAGAAAAACACTGAATATTAAGTAATAAAACAGGACTATAGACAAAATAAAGCAAAGTAGTAAAAAATAGACTAAATACTTGCACAGGTATCAATAAATTAGTGCTTGTCTTGCAGGCAACACAAGCTAAAATGCAACTTTACATACAACAATAAGCTTCAAACAGAACATTGCCATTATAAACACATTCACCTAAATGTGTGTGCCTTTAATCACAATTAATTAAGTCTTACATTCAGTAATTATGTAATGATAACACCAACCTTAAGTGCAACTTTACAACAGCAGATATTTAAAATAGAACAGCACAATAACAGTATTAATGTTATATGACTTTATAGAATATCCAATTGTCATCAATAGTGCCTACAGAGTACAACCTTCTTGTCAAAGCACTGCCTGTAGTTAGCACAACCTTATTTTGCTTGTTAGACTATGCAGATTTCAGGTGAAAATTTATAGAGCTCAAATTGTGCAAAAGGCTACTTTGTACAGTGTTAGCAAAAAAGATTCTAAAATTTACCTGCATGCCATTTTAAGACATATTATTCTTAAACATGACCAGGATCTTGACATGTTGTATAGAAAACCATTGAAATGTCATTGAATTTTAAGAGATGTTGACAAATACAGCCATTCTTATTTCATGTGACTTAAGCGTTGTTCAAAAGTCCATTGCTTTTCAATCAAAGTAGAAGCTAGTGTGAAAAGTTCCAAATATTTCCAGAATGGACAGCCTACTTGGACTATCCCGAGATTTTGTTCTCCAAACCAAGAATATTAGGGGAGAGCTTTGCACCATCCTTTGGCATGAGGAATGTACAAATTCATAGCAGCACTTCCGCCCATTGTGGTGAGCCATATTCAGTGCATAGATTACTCCAAGCATTACTGCAGTCTGGTGCAACTGATTTGATGTTTCCTACAATAACGTTTCCATCAGCGTCAACGTCTTCATATTCTCCAAGAGCTCCACCCTCTTCTGATGACATAAATGCCCATTTCAGTGCTGTGCTGGTCTCTCAAGATGTCTTCACCATGAATGTCCTACAAATTAAATCTTGTTATTAATACTAAACTCCATTGTACTCTTGCTCCATAAAGAGTAAGTTCAGTTTATTTCTCATTGGAGCTCTTCTAAATACTTCCAGGCACCTCCGATAGTTTTTTTTTTTTATATCAAATACTTATTTTATGATGAATCTAAATAAAATCAGCCCCCATCTCCACAAAACTCCATTCAATGGTAAAATACACATTACAAAATGGATAGTTCTAGCTAACCCTTCTCACACTAGCACCTACAATCTATGGTTGGTGTGTTAGTATGTTAGCACCAACGCCGCGTTTCGATTTGGATTTACTATACAGACGGGAGGGGGCTGATTTTATTAAGCAAATGTTATAAGCAATTGATAAGAACTGAGGTGCCTGGAAGACACACAGTATTTAAAAGAGCTCGAATATGAAATAAGATGAATTTACCTTAGTTAGAAATTAGAAATGAATTAGAATGGTGGTGATGTGCTTAGGTCACATACTGACTTACCATGTACTCCTTGATAAGAAATCCATCATCATCATCATCATCATTCAGGTTCAGACAAAGAGCTTTTATGATGGTAGACATCCTTCGCCTGCGCATATTGATTGCACTTGTTAGAATATACCTTCAACTATTTAAAAAAATCGGTACATTAACTTGACAAGCATACAAGGAACAGATAAAAGAAACATATGAACATTAAAATCCCGATCATCTTAGAGACTGAAAAATGATTACTAATTTGAACAATAAACCAATTAATAAAAAGTAGCTTTACAAAACAAATAGCCTCATAGTTCAATACAAATATCAAATCTGGGTCATAAAAATGCACTTACCAGAGACTTAGAACATGCCAGAGAATCCTTTAAAACATGGCAGTCAACAACCTTGGTAAGCCTTAACCTATAAACAAAGATGGCATTTAAATAAAATTAAATGAAAAACAACGTTAACATTTTATCTTAAACATAAGCTTTACTTTAATGTTTTATTGCTTTACTTTAATGTTTTATCTCACCATGTGGAAGGACATAACAGTGCATTATTTTGGCTGAAATTTAATAGTCTTCCAATAATATATATATATATTATTTTACTCATATTTAGCTATTTGTTTTAATCCTTTGAGCATTATTTTAATTTGAAACCAACTCAGATATTTAAGTCACATCATGGTTCTTTTAATCAATATGGCTATCAAGATTCCCTGTCTAGGGTTTGTGCATTATTGAGCATCAAAATCAATGTATAAAAATTACTTCTACCACTTGGCACTTGAAGTCCATAATATTTAACATAAATGCAGTTTGACTAAACATAAGGTAAACCACATCTTGATAACAATGACAAAAGGGTTACATAAGCAAAATACATTTGTGAGTGTGTGTGCATGCACCATCTTATATACAAAATGATATTCTGATTATAATAATGACCAGTGAAACTCTGCTGTTATAAGGGCAAACAAACCTCTTTTCCACTACAGGGCTGAACAGTTATCATTAGCTTGATAGTTAACAAGATAACGGATTCTATTATGCCAAACTAAATCTCCACTGACAATTCTGATAGAGCAAAGTCGAGCGATTGGTGTTGAAGGAACAGAATGCTGAAATTAATGTTAAACCTGCTTCATGGTGCTTGTAGCCTATTAGCTAAGTTAGCCAGCTAGCTGCTAACACTAACGTTTGCTTAGCTAACTAACGCTAGCTAGCTGCGCTAACGATATCAGAGTCCATGTTGGAACAACACATTGCAAACTGGGTTCATCAGCTGATGCCTGTAACCTACTAGCTGCTAACGCTAGCTACAATAGCGTTTGCAGGCTCCATCAGAAACCAGCTCTGGCTCCATATCCAAACTCCAGGCTCGGTGGAGCTAGCTAGCTAGCTAACAAAGGCTAAAATTACACAGGTTTGTGGACACCTATTACCCAAATATCATATCCGAAATCACAGGCGAAGCGAGCACAGCCTCCTCCATGAGAAAAGATTATTACAGGTCATGTCAAGGACACACAACTAGGTCTGTTTACTTCGAATATGCGTTGAATTGAGCCCCTCACAAACTTTGCTATGCTAGTCGTCCCTTAACTGTACCTTTTCATCTGTTATATCCAACGCTGCGTTGTGTGTGTGTGTGTCTACAACCATCTAAACAATATTTTACCGTGTAGTTGTACGATGACACAGTAGCTAAACGCACTCGTCAGCAGTGAACTTAAGAAAATGGCGCCGTTACTTAGCTAGCTAGCAGGCTACGTCAACAGTAACGTTAGCTAACGGTTGTGTTCATGAGCAAACTTAGTGAGGACCTCAAGTGACCCCAACACAGACAGATACTTATGAAGCACACAGTGAATTAAAACACTGCGGTTTTAGTAAGTTTGGTGATTATTTGACCGAGTAACGTTATGTGTACTTTGAATGTGTGTGGGTTTAAACTGGCTAGGTAGCTAAGCTAGCGAATTTTAAGCCATGCTAAGTCCTCCCTTAACCTTACGTTTTTGCCAATAATTTTCTGCGTAAATGTCATGAATATGTTATATGTCCATAATGACAAATAGACAATATACGATATCCTATCTTGTGAATGTAAGATGACAGAATCTTCTCAGGTAATCCAAATCTTCCCAGAGACGAGGTGTAGAAAATGGCTGCCGTCAGCTCGGAAAAAGCTGTGCATGCGCAGTTTCTACCCCTTGACATAATTATTTCTGATTCACTTTAAGCATGTTTCATATGCTTAGTTTACTGGTTTTCAACATTGTTTATTATTATTTAATTGAAGCAAAAACACATTTAAATTGAGAAAAACATGCACAATTTTTTTATGTAAAATTTACTAAGGGCCGAGTTAATTTTTTTCAGTGCAGTTGGCAGAAAATGTAAGTAGTGAAGCACTAAAACTTATTTCAGGTTTTGTGGTCATTAAAACTCAGCAGTGTTTTACTGTGGCATAATGTGATGTGAACAAATTTCAACATGCTGTCTGTTGTTAAAAACGATAACTTAATTCTTAATGTCTGACCCAGAGTGGCAAGTATGTAAATTAAGGATCAGAACTAAGTAATAAACAAAGCACCTTTAACATATGTTTCATTACACATAGGGAATCACTGAGCTTGTGATTCAAACAAAAGAATACCATAACCTTAAGCATCGCTGGTCTGGTCTCCTAGACTTCTCAGCACCTACTACCATGCAGTCAGTAATTTAGAGCTAAAGCAGGGCTATACATGACAGCCCTCAGGCCGAGAAGGGGAATGCTGCAGACCGGAGACCTAAAGGGGAGGGAACTGGGGCGGGAGTCTGTCAATCATTTTTTGCATCAACCAATTACATAACTACTCTTGGCCGTCAATCACAGTTTGCATTGGCCAATCGCAGACTAGAACGAGCTGACCATTAAAAAACAGGGTAAAAAAGTATGCAGAGAAACCAGAGATGGACTACAGTCTGTAATTGTAGACCTGCAAAGTGCTCCTATATGGTAAGTGGAGCTGATAAAATGGACAATGAGTGTAGAAACAATGGTCATAATATTCTGATATGACTGTGTATATTAAAATACACCACCCATAACATTAAGACCGCCTGCTGTGTAGGTACCCCTTGTACTACCAAAACAGCTCTAACCCACCAAGGCTTGTGTCTTGACACCTTTCTATCATAGCCAGCATGAACTTTTACAGCAATTTGTGCTACAATAGCTTTTCTGTGGGATCAAACTGACTGTTCACATATTGCCTAATATATCCAACCCTTTAACCCCTTGAAAGGTGCAGTTGTAACAAGACAATCAGTGTAATCCAATTCACTTGTTTTGTTATGATTGAATATGATTGAATGAAATGCATTTTAGAGTTAACTTCATGTTTTCAAACATCTAACGTATTATTTCAGAAACTACTAGCTAACTAGCTACATCCTTACTGGCTCAGAATGGAAAGCTAAGTTACTGCTAACGTATCTGTAGCTAGGTTAACAGCAGCGTTTGACTGTAGTGAGGAGACGCAGTCATTAAGTCGTATTTGGTTAGCTATAAACACTTTCGCCTCACTCACAGTGTATATCTAGAGTGAAACATCAAAACAACAAACATATAGCTAGCTATATCAGTCAGAAATACTGAACTACTATTCATTAGCTACATACTCGTCTTATTTACCTTTCATCTCACGTTCCAGTGGGTAAAACAGCCTGTGACAAAATTGGGTGTTAAACTAACCTAACAGCGGCTAGATTCGCTAATGCAAAGATGACGGACAGCTCATTCTAATTTGCAATTGGCCAATGCAAACTGTGATTGATGGCCAAGAGTAGTTATGTAATTGGTTGATGCAAAAAATGATTGACAGACTCCCGCCAACAGTTCCCTCCCTTTTAGGTCTCTGGTCTGCAACTTTCCCCTTTCGGTATTCCTGCCTTGCGCCCAATGATTCCATGTAGGCTCCAGACTCACCGCAGCCCTGGCCAGGAAGAAGCGGATAAGAAGATGACTGGACAGATGGGTGTTGTAATGGGTATTACAGAAGATGTTGCTATCAAATAGAAACTATGAGCAATATAAACATAATGGTATACAGAGTTTATCCTAAGTTAGGGAGGTCTATACATTAACTATCTATCAATCTATCAATTCTAATTCAAAAAAGACTTCTTCATCATTCAAATATATATCCAGTGGTGGTCGAAGTACACAAACCATGTACTTAAGTTAAAGAAAGAGATCCCCAAAGTAAGCTATTACTCCAGTAAAATAGAAGCCCTCCCTTTAGACCTTGAGTAAAAGTATAAAACTATTTACTCTTAAATATCTCAAATAAGTATCAAAAGTAAAGTATCATTTCTGTAACAAGACTCTTGCTTAATCAAGCTATTTTAGGAGAAAAGACTCTAGTGTCACTCTTGGTTCTCCAGTCTTTTAATAGAATGTTATTAGTTAGTCTGACACTGATGTCTATTAAAATTATCATAAGCACAAAACACTGAAGGCAAACAATTTCCATTAGGAACCAAGTGGCTATGAAATAACTTTTTGTGAACAAGCAAAGTTTCAGTTTAAGATTTATTACACATACTTGCTCAGGCCACCTACCCTCCTCCAGTAATGCAGCTTTGTGTTTGCAGTGGGGAAAATGTGTGTGTTCCACATTTGTTATATGTTTAATGTATACTATATATCACTGCATGCCTTTAACTTCTTATGAAAGCCCTATTCTAATATTGTAATGCCAAATTTTAAACTGGAGACTACTTTAGACTCCTCAGCTTTTAGTACACTGCAAGTAAATGTGGTGGAAACTTGCATCCGTCATGTTGATAATATAATATTCATGACCCATCCAAAGTATCTTCATTAAACCAAGGAGACAAATCTAAGGAGATACAGGTAACCTGAAAAATCAAACAATCCTATAATGTAAAACATAAAGACAGCTATTATGCCTGCTAAGTGAGAATTATCTGATGCCTCATATGAAAGGGGAAAATGGGGGGAAATGCACCCTTAAAAACAACGCACATTGATCTGTGAACATTATCACAGTTAAGGGGAATAAACTGGAAGAGCTCATTTTTATATAGCAAAAAAAAATAAATAAAAAAATAAAATAAAATAAAAAATAGAGAAAATCTTAAAGTAAATATTTGTCATCTCAGTTTTATAGAATTGATAATAATATGGCAAATAATTTGTGGCCATTTTTTTCAAACACATTGTTATTCATCAAACTACACTAAAGAATTAAAAACACTAAAGAATTATATTTTAAATTTAAATTGAGATCTTTATGTATTTGTGTTAATGATTTCACTTTGTAATGATTAGAGGTGGGTAATCCAGGTCCAAAAAGTAAAAACCCTCCCTAGGATTTTGTTCCAACTGCCTGAACACCTTTGTTGCTGGTTTGAGCAAATTAGAGAATTCAAGCAGTTGGAACAAAATCCTAGGGAGGGTTTTTACTTTTTGGACCTGGATTACCCACCTCTAGTTAATGCTAGGTGACAAGAGATAAGTGGCGCGCAACTAGAAATATTTAAAATGTCAATTTTGTCTATTGCAATACATACACAATTACAATACACAGATTTATTTTTAGTACTAGTAGTATTACAAGAAGAAGAAAAATAATAACAAATAATTTAAACAAAGCAATATCGTTCAACATTTAATTGGTAAGTGGTGCAAATGATTGGTGTGCATGGCAAAAAATATTAGGTGTGTATGTAACTCTGTCTAGCTGCAATATCTATCTAGCTGTTCATCCCCTCTTTCTCAGGTTTATAACTTTATTTTATTTGTTTATTTTTTTTTATAATTGATTAGTAAAGCTTGTTTTTGTATACATGGTTAAGAAAATGTGTGTGTGTATGTGTGTGTGTGTGTGTGCTTGTTTTGTTTTTGTTGCTCCTTGTATCTTATAATTTAGGTTTTACTTAACTCCCAAATGTCTTTGCTTTTTAACAGCATGTCTTTGCTTTAATTTGAGAGATGACAGTCATTGACTGAAAGAGGTAACTATAGCTGCATTGTTGTGTCTGATGAACAGGTAGAGGACCTGAAAAAAGTACACTGCAACTCTAGGCAACAAGAGCAGGTCAGTGGCAATTGTACTGGAAGTTCAGGAACACCTGGTGGCACTGTTGCATCAAGAGTCAAGGACAGTGTCTGCAGAGGCAAGAATCAGAGACTGAGAATAGGTCAGGCTGATCCAGGATCAGGGACTGAAACAGAAAGTGCTGAAGTAGAAGCTAAATAGACTGGATCTGCATTTAAAGATCCAACCTCTGGTTTCACTGCATCTTAGGCCAGCAGGACTGCAACAGCTAAGGGCGACAGGACCCCAGTACTTGAGGTCATTGAGACTGCAGCAACAGAGTTGCTAAGAGGTGAGTCTGGTACAGCAGAGTTACTGGCAGGCTGACCTGAAGAAGCAGAAGTTACTGCTGCTAGATTAGCAGTATAGGGGACAGGCACCTGGTAGAGTTACACAAGGCATCAAAAGCTTGCTGCTTTTTCAATACTATAACGAGGCAAATTATTTGATTCTGTAACTTTTGATGCTTTCAATACTGTATACAGCCTGAAGAACTGAATCTGTATTCTGGATAAGTGAATCAAATTGTGCATGTTAATTTGACTTGGATAGGCCACGCACACAAGCCAGCTGGCTCAAGCAGCGCCAAGGCAGTAACCTAGCTAGCATGGCTACACCAAAAACAAAAGATGTACTCTCACATCCATGTCTTGTGGAAAGAATTTGCTCAAGGTGTCAAGTCTAAGCATATTTTGAATATCATGTCATATCATGAAGACAAGTAGCCACCAGACATGACAAAACCAGCAGGCAAAAGGTGTTACAAGTGCCTCCACTGCAAAACAGGCAACACTAGCAAATATGCTAAGCATTTGGCCAACAAGCACTCCAACCTGTACAAAAAGCTGAAAGGTTAAGTTAGACAGGTTAGCAAAATTAAAGGCTGTGCTGGGGAGCTTTCTTAAGTGAAATGTTCTTTTGAGAATTTAAGTGTTTTTGCACTGGGGATAAGCTAATTACTTGTTTTGTGAACTCTTGATTATGCTCCACATGTTTGCGTTTCCATCGCTAACATCTAACACTGGCCTACTTAATCATTAAAGTTCATGTGGGCCAATTTTAAATAGTAAAATATTGGTGTTT